GAGACCTGGTCTTCTCCCTTGTTAGGGTCACCCAGTACGCTCCTCTAAACAGTGAGGAGAGGACAACATTACCCGGAATGCATTAGACATGTGAATGGAGAGTGTATGCTGGGGTGATGAGAGTCGGGAAATCTCCAGATGCGAGCTGACAAAACTCCGGACAAACAGCACTGGTGGATAACAAGGACCCTGGTCCAGGTCCTGTTCCTCCCTCTCTCCGTAGAGTTGGCAGCAGCAAACAAGTATCCTGCCTCGCCCAGCCTTACCCCCAGAGCCAGGCCAGGCCTTCCAGAAGCACCATGTGACCCAGGCCCCCTGAGTGAGCCTCCCAAAAGCCGCTGCAGCTGGGGGTCACTGGTATTCCCACCTTCCACCCTCGGGCTCACAACCCCCCAGGGAGGAAGTGAGTCATCTTCCTGGATGAAGCGGGTGGTGCGCTCCTGCAGCTGTCGTGACCGCTGAGAGCTTGGGAAGGGCCGTGCATCATGACGGCCATGGGTTTTCAGAGATCACAACTCCAGTTTAGAGATGAAAGCGATGTAGTGTTGGGTGAACACCTGTTACCCCTGGACAATTCCACACACGGCACCTGCGCTCAGTGCCACCCAGCCGTCCACCTAAAAATGTGCGAGAAGAGACCAGCGTGGTGGCACACACCTGTGATCCCAGCGTTTGGGAGACACGGGGATCAAGAGTTTATTCTTACCTACCTAGGGAGTCTAAGGTCAGCCTGGGCTACAAATGATACTGACTGCACAAATGTGGTAAGATGGGTGTGGTAAATCATGCCTGTAATCCCATCACTCCGGAGGCTGAGGCAGGAGATGGAAGGTGAGGCTGTCTCAAAAAGATGAAAACTAAAAGTTAAAAAAAAAAAATGCAGTGGTAAGCCTGGTGCATCCTTCAACTATAAAAATGAGGAAAAACAAGTGGAGAAGCCAGGACTCACACAGACAGAGCATGCTTGTTTGGCGCTGGCCCTTCCAAAGGTCCCTTCCGCCCTTCCTGGAACCTAGGAGAAAAGCCATGGTGCAGACCTCCTCTTTGCCTCCAGGGGGCAATGTTGCAAAAATGTTTGGGGGAGCCAGGCTTTTCCTCCAAACTGTTTCTTCCTGGCCTACACTGGTTCCCGTTCTCCACCCCACTCTGTCTGAACCCTCACTCCAACCCTGTGTCCCCTCCAACTTTGCTGCACCCATCAGTAGCATCTCCCCAACGACACAAATTATTAACTACTGTGACCCCATACCTGACCTTAGCTTTAGCTTGTACGATCCTTCCAAAGTCAGAGAAGAGTGGGAGCTCTGCCAGCCATCTCCCCATTTTATAATAAGGAGACTAACCATGCAGATGCAGGACCTGACCAATGCCAGCACAGAGACGGCCAGTCCCAGGCTGGCCAGTGCCCAGCACCCACGGAGCTCCAGCTCTTAACACTGACCCCCCAGCCAGGCTGCTGAGCTCCCAGTTTGCCCTGGAGCTCCCTTCCATCTGGGGGGGGGAGGGGTGTCTGGTGATTTATTGCCTTGAGGCTGTCAGTCAGGTCGGGCTGACCTGATGCGCACCTTCTGTGATGGACTCCCTCCACTTCCTCTGCTTCCAGATCACAAGTCATCACCAGCGTCACGGCTGCTATATTAATAATGGGCCTGTGTCTGCTCAGCTCTCAGGACTTAGCAGGCACCAATCCATCAGCTCATCCCAGCCTTGACAGCTCTAGAGAGGCGTTTCACAGACAAGGGCATGGAGGATCAGGGAGGGCAATCAACTGGCTCCGGGTCATCCAGAAAAGACTCTCTTTAGGAGAGAATTTTGTCTCCTGGGAGAGATGCTGTCTATTCCGGAGGAGATGGGGCAAGATGATGGGGCTCTGTGTGGTCCTGCCAGGAGGTTCCTTAGCCTTTTTATTGCAGAGGAGGACACTGAGCCTCAGAGAATTCTTGCTGGGTCAGACTTGAAGCATCCAGTGCCTAAAAAGTCTGAGGTGACTCAACACCTGCTCTCTGGAAAACAGGCCTGTCACTTCCAGAGGAGGGTGCAGTTTCCAGCTTAGCATGGAGGCAGCAGGACCCAGGGGAAGACAGTTCAGACAATAGAACCTGGGGTGAGTGGCACCCCCATAGTCTTGGGAGTGTGGGGGGATCCAGGTGAGTTAAGTAGCCTCAGAAAGCACAACTGGCTGAGCCAAGGGGTTCAGGAACCGCCCCTCGTAGAGCCCCCTTCATCCAGCTGGTCTACAGATCATGACGTGTCTGGAAATGAGCTGCATATCATCAGGATAGAGAGGGCCCTGACTCTTAGCGGGATGGAGACCCAGGAAGCAGTAGACAGCCACTCCCATGCTTGCCCCTCTCTGTAGCCTCAGTCTCCCAGTCTGAAGAAGGGACGTTGAACTGAATGAGCTCTACATTTCTTCCCACGCTGACCTCAGGATAATACATCTGGCTTTGATGTTCTTAACTCATGGCCCATCTCCTGCTGTAAAGGACCTAGAGTGTATGTGTGTGGGTGTGTGCATGCATGCAGGGGGTAGGGGCCACCTCTGAGCAAGTCACCTCTCTGAGTGGCAGTGTCCTCTCATGCCACTGCCTTCCCTGGACAGCGCTATCATTTATAGATATCCGCTCCCTGACTGACAAGCCAGAGGGAAGTGAGAACAAACGTGCTGAGGGTGCAGTTTGGAGTGGTTTGGGGGACAGCGGCTCTGACTACCCCTCCACTTCTTTATCTTCTGAGCAAGGTCACAGTGACCATCAGGACCTTCCTGCAGGGTGGTGGTTTGATGCCCTGATCACTTAACAGATGGTAAGACTGAGCCGTAAGGAGCGGAGTATTTGGCCAGTGTCCCGCAGCAGGGTTGTGACAGAGCTGGGACCAGAATGGAGCCCAGCAATCTAGTTCCCGGCATCCTTCCCTGTACCCGAAGCAGATGGCCCCACAGATGAAGTCCCCTTCGTGTCGGGTTTACAGAAAGGCTCGTCTCTACATGGGCTACTCAGAGAGAAGGGCTCCAGTTCTGCAAACAGCTCAGGGATTTACAACAGCGTCAGGCTTGGCAGGAACCATGAGACTGTGAGAATCCTGTCAAGGGTACTGGGAGCTGCAGAGTTTTGCAAACGACGCCAACAGCAGGAGACGCTAAAAAAGGCATCAAGTTTCACAAACAATGGGAATCTGCAGATGGTGCTGGGATACACACACACACACACACACACACACACTCACACACACTCACATTCACACACACACTCACTCACACACCACACTGCGCAAAGAACGCAGGTTGCAGGAACCACCAGCGCTCCCAAGTGGACTAAGCCATGGAGCAAGGCAGTATCCCAAAGCTTAGGGCTCCTGTTGATCGGACCCTACCGAACTATTAGTTCAGGAGCTGGTCTGAGGATCTGTTCCAGTTTCATAAGATCATGTCTGTCCCTGACCTTTGCTCCACACATCCGAGTACAGAAATATTCTGGTTCCATACAAAGACCCTCGCCCTTGAGGCTAAGCCAGAGATAAGAAAGTTTCTACAAGTCTAAAGCAACCTTCCTTCTTGCAGCTGTACAACTGTGATTTGAAATCTGGAAGGTTACCTCCTCTTCCAGTCTCCAGGAGGACTCAGTGCTGGCTTTGAAGGGCTGAGCGGCCAGATCTGATGGAGCTTTCCAACCAGGGCTACGGTCCGTTCTTTCTATCAGTCCACCACAATTGCTCGCCTTCCCCCACTGCCCCATGATCATCTTGCTGGTCCATCAATGACACCTTCATTCAAGAAGTGTTGGGCATTCGGCTGAGTCTCCTCTTATTGCCAGGTGGATCTTTATTTCAGATGTCCCTGTTTTCTATGGCCAAGTGGGCTAAAGGAGGGTCTCTGTCATTCCAGAGGAAGCTAGACTCTAAACCCACACCCCGATTCCATGCAAACGTCCTCTTCTAGAGAGGGAGTTGGGCTCATTTCTGTATCTTAAGTTGAGGCAAATGAAGACTCTTTCCCTGAGAAGATGGCCTGGGTTGAAGGAAAAAGCCTCGCTGTAGCCTGGGTAGGCTGGGCCATGCTGCTCAACCGGTGAGGTGTCCTGTGGCAAATAACTGAGACTCATTGGCGCATCTGCGAAATGGAGGACTCCCAGCCTGCTGCATGAGCAGGCCCTGGAAAGCCTCACAGTCAGGCTCTGCCAAGAGAACCTGCTGTTTTCTCCCCAGCCTGGTGAAGGCCCTGCCTTCTGCCACTCCCTCCAGCCCAGCCTCTGGCCTCCAGCCTTGGCTTCTTTATTTATTTCCTCTCTACTCACATCAGCTCAGCTTGTGCAGATGAGGTTACAAACACTCAGAGAGGCTCAGGGACTTGCCTGTGACTCCTGTCCCTTGGCTAAGGCCAGCAGTGGGATGGAATCATTCTCCCAGCTGTCCACAAGGCCTCTGTCTAGACATCTGTAAGAATTTCACATTTACCCTTTTGTCTTGCTTTCCTTCCCCCTCCCCTTCTTTCCCCCCCTTCCTTTCCCCATCTCTTCATCTTGGGGGCTGTGCCTGATGGAGTTTCTAACCTGAGCCCCCAGGTGAGCTGGCCATGATGCTTTGGGGGACAGTTGTCTGAATCCTTAGGGCAGATGGAAATGAGGGATGGGGGACAGGGCACAGGAGTACAGTGAAGGCGGTCCAAGGCTCAATGGGAGTTCAGAGCTCATAGAAAGCCAGGGAGACAGCAGTCCCATCAGAAAGGGGGGCTCATATAGGGGGCTGCAGCAAAAACTGAACATTCTGGAATATTTGTCTCTGCTATGTGCCTGAACTCAATAGCCATCAATAGCTTCTTTCGCCTCTGCTCCTAACACAAGGAAACTATCCAAAGGACAGGAGTTAGGAAATAACCCGAGTAAGCCTCAGGGAGGAACCAGCCTCCCAGCAGCATGGGGGCTGGACCTAAACAAACCCGCCCCCTTTACAACTCTGGTCCTGGGCTGTCCCAGCCACAGATCAGAGGAATTCATGGAGCCAAAGAAGCAGACACAGCAAGGGTAGGGGCCTAAAGCCAGACAGAGAAGCAAGTACCCAGAGCAAGTAGCTCTCGAGGAAGGGTCAGTTTGAGCAGGGTCCTTACACCTCTGCCTTGAGGGCAGCTGCTCAGTGTGGCCAAAGACACATAGCCTAGTGAGGGACAGTCCTGCGTCAATGCCCCCTTCTGCTGCTCCCTCAGAAGCTGTCTCCCGGAGACCCCTGCCAGACTTGCTTCCTCTCTGCTAAGCTCCAGATTGAACTAGGGCCACAACTCTCTGCACTCCCTGAGCCATGGGGCCCAGAATAGGTAAGTCCGAGTGAAGGAAGGGAGGGAATTGGGAGGGAGCCTCGGGGCTTCATCAACTAACGGTGAGACCATATAGAATGGTGTGCTGTGGAGACAGAGGCTGATTTTGCACAGAGCAACCCGACGGTCTATGGGACACAGGGAGGGTATATGAGTGAATGAGAGGGGCAGGATGGGAAGCCATTTACTCAGCTGGATGCAGGGAGCCCAGCCAAACCACCCCTGGTGAGCTAGAGACCCAAGGTCTTAGAAAGGCAGGCCTGCCCATTTACCATCAAGCCGACCCCCACCCCCACTGCCAGTGTGGGGGAGTCAATACAGAGATGAATGGAAAAAGCAGACAACCACAGAGAAGAAGCAGAGAGACGGCATGGGAGCGAGCACGTGTAAAGTGACATCACAGGGACCAACAGGTGCCATCAGGACAGGGGCAAACTGAGAAGGTGGCCCAGAAGAAGGTCATAGTGGAGACCTGGAAGGACATAGAAGGAGAGCATGGGTGTGAGCCAGAAAGGCAGAAAACCACCAACCCACAGGGACTAACCTAAGGGACTGACCGACCAATTTCAGACACAATCCTCAGGATTCACACAGACAGGGGATCCAGAGAGAGAGACCCGAAGACACTTGGGGTAGATGGCGGTGGGGTATGAGGAGACTAGAGGGAAATGTCTAGAAGCTTCCTGAAACCAAGTTTAGAATGGCATAAGAAGAGCACCAAGTGGCCAGAACAGAGTGACAGACCCAGAAGGCCGTTCCACAGGGTGGCTGGGCTCCATGCCCTGTAGTAACCCTTGGCCTCCCTGCTGCTACCTGCCTGCCTCAGTGTTGGCTTCGCACCCACCCACCCAGGCAAGGCTGGGCTTGCTCCCGGGCGGCCGCAACGAAGGCTCCAGGCCAAACAGACTCAGCCCTGTGAAGGCACACCAGGAAGAGTGGGGGTGGGCGCTTCCTTTCGGGCGGCTTCATATGAGAGAGGAGGGGAGGTCAGGTTTGGGGGAGGGGCTTATTTGGGGGTTTGGTGACACAGGATTTTGCTTGTAGCCCAGGCTCATCTCCAACAGACACTCCATTCTCTGGCCTCTGCCTCTGTGCAGGGATCACAGGCAGCCACCACAGAACCTAGTGTAGGAGATGGTTTCAATAGGTTTATGGGCCATTAACAAAACAAAATTCCCGATTATCTTCTCAGTATGAACGGGGGGATCGAAGATCCCACGGCATAGAAAAAAGTGCACCTGCCTCTTGTCCTGCTAAGCGTTGGGCTCTGGGTTCTCTAACTGATCTCTGATGCCCATGTAACAGGAGGCCAACCCAAGTCCTTGCACTCAGTCACCAGGAGCCACTTCCAGCTGCACTTCCTCGGCGTCCCTCAGGACTATGGCCAAGCTCAGTGGGCAGAAGGATGAGGGACACAGATGACTTTCAGTTGTTCCACTGGGGACAGACACCAAAGGGGACTGAGAGTCAGTGTGTCTCTCACAGAGCTAGCCTGACAACCTGCATGCGCCCATAGGCAGCAGGCGGAGTTGTCAGTGCAGGGAGATTAATGTCCCCACACTGTCCCCATGGTGAAGTCCAGGGAAGCCACTCTCTGGCCTCTGCACCCTTGCTCAGGGAGTCCCTGCCCACTGCCTTTTCTTGGGAAATTTGACATTTCCAACACTTCCAAAATGAAGCCTACCTGGCGGTCCCTCCGCCAAACAAGAGGAAACCCCTGTCACGACAGTGCACAGGGGACACATACACCCCAGTTCGTCCTTCCTTGCTCCCGCTGTGGCTGCTGTTGTTTGCCTCCTTGTGGCCCTCTGTGTTCAGATGAGATCTTTCCAGGGCAGATATGGGAGTTGAGGGAGAGACCCGTCAGCTTCATGTTCAAATCCCAGCTCTGCCCCATGAGAGCTCAATGAAATCTTCCCTCCTTTTTAATAGGTGAGGAAGCAGACACCCAGAGAGGGCAAGTGATTTGCCCAAGATCACCCAGCACCTGACCTGCAGAGCAGAGGTCAGAACACTCACCCCCTAATATTAAGCTCTCTCCTCTTTGTCGCTTGCCTGGGCCTTTCTCTTTTCTTCGCTCTCCATAACTGGTGAACTCTGGCCTACCTTGTATACTTCTTCGTTGGCTCCCCACAAAGCAAATTCTTTTTTGAGTGCCACTGACTTGGGAGCAGACGTGGAGGTATGTGTCCCCCATGACTGGTCTAGGAAGTGCCAGATGGTGACTTTATCATAGGCTCACGTTGTCAGTTAGTGCCCAGTCTGCCTGCTCCCTATCCCTCTCAGGGATTCAGTTTCTCCATTTTCACAGCAGGTGGCAGAAATAGCCCCTGGGTCCCAGGCTGTGTTTATAAACTTGGTCTATGGGGGCGGCAGCACAGCAAGCCCTCTCTGCAGGGACTGACTGGGCCTTTACATCAGTATGGGGACTCAAGCATATGGAGGGCCAAAATGGTGTTGCATCCTCATAGGCTTCAGCCAAGGCCTGGCAATGGTTCTGGGAATGTGATGGAAGGAGCCCACCTCAGCCAGGACTGGACAGAGTTGGGCTATACAGTGAGAAAACAGCTGTGTCCCGGGTCCCAGCTCTGTGGAGTCAGAAACACAAGCCACATGAATGAAAATGCTGAAGCTTTGGAAGCCCGGGGTATAGACATGTCATCCTAGGAGGCTGAGTCAGGAGGGCTGGAAGTTCAGCCTGGTGAACTATCTGAGTGGTAGAACTCATTCCTAGCATGCTCAGGGCCCTAAGTTCAATGCCCAGGATCACAGAAAAGATGAGAGAGAGAGAGAGAGAGAAGGGGTAAGGGAGAGAGAGAAAGAGAGAGAAAGCTCAAACTGAAATATCTCCTTGTGGAAGAGGAGATAAAGCTAACTGTTTTTCTAATTTCAACTGTTGTGTATTTCTTGTATTTTTGTGGTGGATGAGTACATTAAAAATGTAATTGATAGTGAAAGTGTAAAACTCTAAGTGAAAAGCCACAGCTTCAGAATGGCTAACTGCAAACTACGTAGAAACTCACTAAGTGAGATGTACAGCTTGGGATTGAGCAAGGACTTGAGTAACTGTTTTAATCTGTGTGATGTTTTTATTTGTAATTTCACTACAATAAAGTGATTTTTGTTTTAAAAAATAGTAATGAAAAGAAGAAAAAAAGCCAAAGTTTGAAATAGGAAAAAACAAAACAAAAACAAACAAACAAAAAAAAAACAGTTGGCCAGCAGCTGGGAAGGGAGGTCTCCACCCAAAGTGTGTGGAGAGTAGGATTCTAGAGGAGGGGATACCAGCAAAGCCTGAACAGAACATACATTCTAGAAGGGCAAATGGGCCAAGCGTGATTGTGGACAAAGGCAGGGAGTCACGAGGAGATATCTCAGAAAGTTAAGCCAAAGCTAGCAGGGCTTTGACACAAAGAGCTCATCATATGAGAGCCGACCATATAGATGAGCTCAGAGGCCATTGGGGCTATAGAAGGATGTGACACAGAGTAGGGGTCATGATGTTATAACTGTGTCCTGGGACTACCCTACTAGTGTGTCACAGTTTTATGAGGCCAAGTCAGACTTCTGTCCAATTTACAAATGAGGAAAACAAGACCAGAAGGAGCCAATGATCTGTGACCTCAGGCCACACATCTGGTCAGAGGTAGACCCTGAGACACCCAAGCCCCTGGGCTCTCGGCTTCTCTTTGTCCTCTTTCTTCAGAATCACACTGAAGACTCCCAGGTGCCCAGCCCCTGCCTGGTGCTCATTGAAATGATCTGTGTGTGGTAGCTGAGCCTTATAAAGACCCCCAGACTCTTGCTGTGAGGCAAGAGTGATCAAATGGATGACTTGTGATGTCAGCTCAAGCACTAAGGGTGACCAATGAGCTCTGGTTGTGCATGGTGGGGGGAGGGGAGAGGACAGCACAGCCTCTGGCCAACAGCTTCTTGTTTAGTTCTAAGGAAACTGTCCTGCTTCCCCCTGAGACGCCTCCCTCATGACCTCCCCCCGCCCCCATTCTAGTATCTATTATTAAGGTCATCGTGGGTTTAGATGGGGTAGCCAAGAGTCAGAACCTGGAACAGAAAGTCCCAGCACAGGGTCCCTGACCCAACTGGGAAACCACCAGAGTGCCTGCCCCTCCATCCTGACAGACCTCCCTGAAAAAGCAACAGCTAGACCTCAAGATCCTCTTCCTGCCGGCAGGCCACCCAAGGGTCCTTCCAGAAGGAATTTCCCAAAAATGACAGCCAAGCCTAATTCCCGTCTGGAGACTCCCTCTCCACTCTCTGCCTTTGACTCCTTCTTCTAAACAGTGCTGGGCTAGGTCACAGCAGGAACTGGAGCTTCAGGCCCCACAGGCCCTGTGTCACCAGGACCACCCCCACCTATAGCCCAGGCTCCGGTCTTGCTGGCTCTCTCATTTGAATGAGCTCAGCTGAGCAAGCTTGCTCTTAAGTTGGACTGCAGCCAAGAGATGACAAGTGACGGGCTGGGGAAGGAGGCCAGTCGGTCAAGGGTATGGCAGGTGTAAAGGCAGAGAGGCAGGGCATGGTTAATTTGGGGAATGGGGGTGGTTATTGTGGCTAGAGGATTTTGTTCTTAGGAGCGGGTACGTGGATCCTGGGGCTCTCAAGGGCCTTGAACTTGAGACTGGGAGTCTGGACCCCTGGTGCAGAGGAGTATGGGGAGAAGGGAGGGAGTTTGCCACTGAGGGCTACAGAGTACCAGGCCCAGGATAGAGACTGACAGAGAAGGAAACTGAGGCTTGGATTTAAAAAAAAAAAAAAAAGCCACCTAAGGTCACACAGGTACAGGGCTGCACAAACAAGGTTTTTAATCCAAAGCCTTTGTCTGGAGCGGTTCAGCAAGAGCTACAGCCTGGTCTGTCTGGATTAGCACAGCACTGCTCCAGAGGAGTTTACCTAAGCAGGCTGATGAGAAGCAAAGGGCGTGAGAGAGGCCCACTGGCCGCGGCCGCAGCCGGAGAAAGGGCTATGGGAACTGCCTCCGG